AGAGTTTCACCGACTCATCAGGAGGCTGAACCCTCAACAGTCTGTAGAATCCCCTCACTGATTACACTGTAAATGATAATCCACCTTAACCAAAATCAAAGTAGACTATCACTCACCCACACCAGATGGAAAACTCTACAGACTGTAGGTTCACACCCCATCACAAGCCAGCAAAACACCCACGAAACAAAGAAAGGTCTGTCACAGCCAAAAAATACACTCCAGACACACCGCTGACACTAGAGGCACAGCATGGCCGCGTAGTGATATATATGTATATATATATCATCACAAACAGAATTGCCCGGTAAACCGTAGGCAGAGAGAGAGAAGAGGACAACAAACGAGGGGCTGTGACAAATTGTTTCGTCGGAGTTTCACCGACTGATAAATATATATATATATATATATATGTGTGTGTGTATACATATATGAATATGAAGGGTATAGTGGGAATATACATGTTTATATACACGCGTATATATATATATATATATATATATATATATATCGTCAAATAGAATTGCCCGGTAAACCGTAGGCAGAGAGGGAGAAGAGGACAACAAACGAGGGGCTGTGACATATATATATATATATCGTCAAATAGAACTGCCCGGTAAACCGTAGGCAGAGAGGGAGAAGAGGAAAACAAACGAGGGGCTGTAACAAACTGTTTCGTCGGAGTTTCACCGACTCATCAGGAGGCTGAACCCTATATATATATATATGTGCCTGCATATGAGTACAGATAAAGGAGCATTTTGTCAAGCTTGTGTTTTGATGAAGAAGTATTGCCTTGATGATGATGTCTGATCCTTGTACTTGTCATTGCTCCTTCTTTGAGTGCAGGCGTGACCCTTGGGGAGAAGTGGCCATGACGCAGAGAGGAGGAATGGCGGGACCCTCTGATGAGCCTACCTTGAGAAAGGGGAGGCAGAGGAGGGATCAGAAAATATCAAGGGACTTAGAGGAGTTGCCTGTTTACAAAGCTGGGGATAACCTGCGTGTGTTTTTGAGGGATTTTGAGGAATATACATTCAGGAGAGAATGAGATGACAAGATGAAGCTCGCGAAGGTGACTGGAGCAGGGGTATATAAGAAGAAGATTGAAGGAGTGACGGTCGGATGCTTGTGATGGAGGACATGCGTGGTGAGACTGTGCCAGATAATAGGGGTCTTTCCAAGGGATGAGATCAAGGATGATCTGAGATTTGATGGGACGAACCTGAATGAGTTTGTCGACAGTTTGCAGCTGTCTGCAGAGAAAGGAGGATGGAGTGATGAGGAAAAAAAAAAAAGATTGATTGGGAGGACAGAGGAGAGTAAGAAAGAGGAAGTGAAAGAGACTGTGGAAGGGAGCCACACTTGGCAAAGGATAACAGTGAAACTACAAATAGCGTACACCCAGGTAAAGCAAAACCAAACGAGAAAGGAAAGATTGCAAGAGGGGGATTGTGGATTGGAAGAGAGATGGAAGAGCTGCAAAGAAGGGCACAAGAGGATGATGAAGAAGAGGACGTGCCTTTGAAGAACCTGAGAAGCAAGCCAAGGACTCTCCCCAAGGACAGAAGTAGAGGTTCTGAGTAGGCAAGGGAAGGAGAGAAGGAAGAAAGAGAAGCGACAGTAAAAAGGGGAAGAGGTCAGGGAGCGAATGAGGCACAAAGAGAGGGAAGGGTTGAAGAAAGAAGATCGATTGAGGTTGAAAGGGAAGAAGTAGAAGAAAGGAGAAGTGGGAAGGAAGAAAGAGCAAGCAGAGAAAATGGGGCAGAAGAAGGAAAAAAGATCTAGGAGAGAGGCAAGACTCCTAGGGTCGTCAGAACTAAGCGAAAATGGTCGATTGGAGATGGAGAGATGGAAGGGAAAACGAGTGAAGAAGAAGAGAGACAAAAAGTGGGTAAGGAAGTGAAAGTTGAGGAGGCAGAATATGGAGGGCCATCCCAGCTAAGAGGGGAGGTGAAGAAAGGACAGATGAGTAAAGAAGAAAGAGCTCAAAGGGAGAAGAAGAAGAAAGAATGAAGAGATTACATGATCAGGATGCTGCAAGATGATGACCTGCCTGTGAACTCCACTTGGGAAGTCAGATTTGAAAGAATGCTTCTCTCAGAGTTGGTGGTGAGCACCAAGCATTCCTCCAACCTGCAGAAAATGATGGGGCTGCATGAGATGTTGGATGAGAAGTGCACTAGGTTTTTTGAAGAATATGCTGAGGTTGCCAGAAAGTTGGGAAAGATGGAAGGAGGAGATGGAATGAGGGAGATTGGAGAAGACCTGGATACCGTGGGAAGAGGGCTTCTGTCTGAGCTCAAGGAAAGCATTAAGCTTTTCACCCAAGGGTTCTTGGACTACATCCCAAGGCTCTTAAAGGAAATGAGCAGGCTGAGGAAGAAGGAAGAAGAAAGGGACGCCCAGGTGACGAAGTTAACATAGGATTTGGAGGGGATCAGGAAGGAAGTGGAGGGGTTGAAAAAGGGAAAGGAGGAACTGCAGAAACAAGTAAGTACTTTGGAGACTTCCCTGACCCAGAAAGGCAAGGAATTGGAAGATGAAGTGACAGAAAGGGAGAAAGTGGAAAGGAAGGTGGAAAGTTTGTGCTCTGGGATCAATGTGCAGGGACAGAACCTAGACCAAGAGATTACTGACAGGAAATAGATGAGTCAAGTATGGGAGAAGAGATGGGAGGAGATACTGAAAGGGATGAAAGAGCTCAAGTTAAGCCACCAGGAGGAAGGGAATGAAACCACGAAAGTGGTGAAATGGCAGAATGAAGGAGGATTTGAAATCAGATTGGCAGAAAAAGGAAAGGGGACCCATCAGTCAAAGGAAGGAGGAAGTAGGCTGGATGAACAGACTGGGGTTGAAAAGGAGGGACCATCCAGCAAAGAGCTACAGGGAGGACCAAGAAACGAGGGACCACCTGCCACAAAGGAAGATAAAGATGAAAGTCTGGGTATGCCTCAGCAAAAGGGCATCAAGAGGAGTGAACAACCTGGCATGAAATCGTCAGAAGGGGCAGGAAGTCAGGTAGAGACTTCGAGTCGGCCTCTAACCAAGAGACCCAGGCACAACAAAAGTCAAAGTGGGTGCTTCTTCTGTACAAATGAGGGACATTTCGGGGATTGTTGT